ATTCAGGAACAAAGTCTCCCTCTCCTTGCTGGGGCCCTGCAAGACTTTAGGGGGCAACCTGGGGGGGAGAGTGGCAGAGCAGTCTGGGGCGGACAGAAAGCCAGGTCTAGTCTGTCGTGTGTTCTGGATGGTCTAAACAGCATAGGACAATAGAACTTGCCATTATGGTTACTGAGTCCATGCAAGTGTGCTAAGGAACGAAACATTTAATTTTAAATTTTTTTTTTTTTTTTAGAGACAGAGTCTCACTTTGTCATCGTCGGTAGAGTGCCATGGCGCCTCACAGCTCACAGCAACCTACAGGTCCTGGGCTTAGGTGATTCTCTTGCCTCAGCCTCCTGAGTAGCTGGGACTACAGGTGCCCACCACAATGCCCAGCTATTTTTTTGTTGCAGTTTGGCTGGGGCTGGGTTTGAACCCACCACCCTCTGTGTATGAGGCCGGTACCCTACTCACTGAGCTGCAAGCACCGCCCTTAAATTAATTTTTTAAATTTAATTTTTAAATTAAATTTAAATAATAGCCACCTGTGGCTAGTGGCTGCCACACTGGACTAAAGCCTCCATGCCTGGACTTCTGCATGGAGAGAAGGGAGAGGGTGGGGAGAGGGGCTAGGCTCAGTGTGCAGCACCCCCTGTGTGGAGGGGACAGAACCACCACTGGTCTGAAGGCAGAAGATAAGAGGAGGGAAAAAGGTCTGAAGCAGAGATGAGGGGCTTATCCTGGTGCTCCCAGATGGGTTTTAGGGGAGTGTGAATGACTGAAAAGGTTATTAGAATTGTAGCTATGCATTCATGCATTTATCTGGGGGCAGAGTCTTTTGTTTCATGCAAGCACAAAAGAACTGATCTCAAAAGTAAAATAGGATAAAATAACTCATTGATCTGTCAGATAAAACACACTTCTTCAGGAAGCCTACCCTGATCCCAGAATATAAATTTGCCTTATCATATATCTACAGCACCTTTATTTGTAACATCTGGAATAGTATAAAATAATATTGTTTGGTTGTTTTGTTATTTTTTTTTTTCAAACTAAAATCTGTCTTCCCTCACTAAGCTGTAAGGGCTGTAAAGGCAGAAACCAGATCTGGTTTGGATCACCAGTGTATCCCCGGAGCTGGCATCCTGCCTGGGATGCAAAAGGTGGACTCATGGATGGGTAGGGGGAAGAAGGAAGGAAGAAACAAATGCAGAGTGGCCATGAAGTTCATGTACAATTTAAAATAGGTGTCTATATTAGCGACACGCTTTACCCCTATAACTAGGATTCTCAAAAAGCAACCAAATCTCCCTAAACTGGGTTGGGGGTGTGTGGCTGTGTCACTCTAGGCTGCGGTCACCGATCAAGACCACATGGGCATCTTCTTTGATCCCACACCAAGTTACTTGTACCTCAATCTATTCTGTCTGTAGTGGAATTAATTGCTGAAAAGTCTGCCTTCCCCACTAGATACAGACCCTAAGAGGAAATAGCCTTGTCCTTCTCAATGTCCACTTCTACGCTGCGCAAGAACCACGGCCTCAGTGACCTCAGCACAGGTGCATTCACTATTCTGCAAGGCGGGCTGGCCTATCTACTGCTGTCCTCACACTTACTCTCACACCCAGGGAAGGACTTGCAGATTTCACAAGTGAAAATACAAGATGCACAGTAAAATCTGGATTTCAGGTAAACAACAAAGAACTTTTTAGTATAAGTGTATGCCATACAATATTTGAAACATACTTATACTAAAAGAAGCATTTGCTGTTTTCCTGAAATTTAAAATTAATGGGGCAACTCCTATTTATCGGGCAACCCCAATCCAGGGCCTCACAGGCAACAGCAGCAGCAGCCAGTAAACGGAGAACACAGGTGGGGTGTGGGAGGAGCACTAAGGTAACCAGCCTATTCTTTGCAGTCCTGAAGCTTCAGACGGCATGGAATGCGCAGTTACTGGGTGATGGCACCTTCTCTCTGCTCTTTTCCCTGACCCACCAACTCACCCCACTCCCTATGAACAGCTCCCCAGTGGGCCACCAGAGAACTAAGTACGCTGCAGAAGACTCATTAATGCCAAAGGGACACTGGCTCTTCTCCAAGCCTCCGACTCTTGACTCCCTCTTACTTGCTGTGCCCTCAGGGTACATCTGAGGGTGCCCTGGGATATATCTGAGATTGTTCATTTCCAAGGATTTCTTGAGAGCTCCACACACAAAGCAGTTAGGTCCTGGCAGAAGCTTTGAAGATAATAACCCAGAGAGATGTTCTGCTTCAAGTTTTATTTGCACACAGGGCGGGTGGGGGGTACTGTGCTGATGCGGGCCTGCTATGGAGAGATGGAAAAACGGAGACTGTGGGGTTTGTGCTCGTATGTCAGACAGAGCACTCTTTGCATGTCTCCTGGCCTACTGGCTGTGGAGTGCTGAAGGCCAGGGCACAGCTGCCCATTTCTCTGTGCACCCTTAGAGGGAGTACTAGAGGGTATGTGTGCTGTTCCAGATGAAATTGGATCTGCATGTACCCTTTGGCTCTCAGTTCACGGACAGAAAGGATAAGGGACTTCATATGTCTTTACACAATTCCCAGGTTGCATTAGAGAGGTAAAAACCCAGGGCCTCTTTGTGGTAACCAACCTCCACCAGGCCCAGAAGATACCTTTTGAAGAAAGAAAAAAGAGAGGAGAAGTGCAGGGGGACCCATGCTGGGACAGGGGAAGGGAGAAGATTCCAGGGCCCAATGAATGGGTGAGCAGGCCCCCTGCTATTACCGGAGTGCCACATATAGACCACCAAATGGTGCCCAAGTAGTACCAGATGTGATTATGTAAGATTCGTGATCTAAACTGATTTTGCTCAGTGGTTCCTTACTGGAGGTCCACAGGAGGGTGGGTCTATGAACACCTGACACTATAAGTAAAATTGCACGTATATACTCTTTTTCTGGGATAGAGCTTCCACCAGAATCACGAAGACATCTGTGGTTGCCAGGAGGCCCAGTACCAGGAGTTGGCGAAGCCAGTTCAGCAGTTTCCCCCAGGAAAGCTGGCTCAGTGAGCCTGGGCCCATCAGGGTCCACAGGGGTTCAGACTAAAGGGAAAGAGCAAAACCTTTCTGAGAGCTGCCCCTGTGGGCCACACCACAAGCCCAGCACACTCCCCTACTTCCCCAGAGGCCAGCTCCCGAGAGGGCCCGGGGCTCCTGTTACTCTGAACACCTTGGCACAGGATCGGGCACAGGGCAGCCCGTCAGCACGGATGAGGCCAAGTGAGGAAAGCAGCAGAATGGCATGGGGGGAGGCGCTGGGCCCAGGCCTGCACCTGGCAACACCAGGCAACTCGCTGGGAAACAAGTGTCAGGAACAACATGGGGCAGCCCGTTCGACCCTGCTGGGTGGGTACTAGTTGCATCTTCATTCTACAGATGAGGAAAGTGAGCTTAGAAAAGGTGAGGAACCTGTCCAGAGTCACATATTGTTAGAGCCAGTAACCAGTTCCAGGCCATGTGTCTCCAGGGCCTAAAAAGCTGAGTTCTGAGGTCCACCAATGGCCGGAGATGGAGTTAGCAACTTCCTCTATAGAAGTCGCCATATTAACATCAGTAACTCTGATAAATAAGAAAGGTTTTTCCAAAGGACAAGTCACCACAGCATGCAACATGGGTTCACAAAGATGCCTTTCCAAACTGCATCTACAGGCTGGCGATGACCCACAGGGAGAAGCCTGGCTCTGCTTATGGCCTTCCAAAGCCAGAGCCAGCACACTGCATAAGCTGCTCCCTGCCTGTGTGTCCCCTCCAGGCAACAGAGAGGCGGGATGGGGGAGCAGCATTCCTTTCTTGTGAGAGTCTACAACTCTGGAGTGACTGGGGGACCAGAACGGAAGGAGGGAGAAGAAAAGTTCTGGTTTGGAAGTTCCTACTGGCTCTCAGGCCCCCTCCTGCTCATCAATGGGTCCTTTCAAGGCTCCCTCTTCCCGAATGAGTGATCATTTCCTGTCCAGCACACTTCGCCCATTGATAGGGTGTCTGCAAACCCTACAAGTTCACACTGCACCCAAGGAGACTGGACAGGAATTAAGGGGGGAGGAGGAAGAGTCTGAAGGACAAGGAGTGGCTTTCACCCCCATACTCGGTGAGACATTCAATCTCACGCTGTTGGATTAGGAGAGGATTTGCAACACAGGAAGCTGGCTCACCTTTGGCTTGTCTCAAGCTACAACGATAAGGACAATGAGATAAAATCAAGCATTAGGAGACAAACATGCAGCAGACCTCTCAAGAACACTCACCACCAATGGCCTGCCAAGAAGGGAGTGGACCTTGGTTGTGGACCCTGGAACATCCTTCCAACCATGTCTCCTTTTTATGTAAGCCAGTGTGAGTGTAAAACTGTCACTTGTAACCAAAAGATGCCTAACTAAATTAGCTGTCACCAAGGGGATGTCTGCAGTGGTAACTGCAGGATCTATACTACCATCGCCCATGTGAACATGCCTATGTGTATTAGAGATAACACCTACCATCCACATGTACAAGCTGGGTGGCAAATGCCTCTTTGGGTTAGACAGACACAGCGGTATGCCCAGTTGTGTCTGCAGTTCAAGCAATTGCTTATTTTCTGTTTCGGTCTTCTCTGTATGTTTGCTTTTCTTTGTCTGCAAAGATGATGTGGTGGCCTGTGTCTCACTCTGGATGTATGTTGACATGTCTGCTCAGGCACAGAGCACCTGTGGCCATCCTCCTGCCCCTCCACAGCAGCTTCCTACCTACCCCAGGTGAAGTGAGGTGACAAAATATGACTATTCAGATCATCTGAGGAAGCCAAAAATGTCTGCCTGCAATGCCTAAGATTGAAACAGGCTGAGGCCCACCACTGAGCATCCATCCCTCTTCTATCCCTCTGCTCCACTTGGGCTCTGACTCTGAGGACTCTACTGGGGGATCTCAGATGAGTGAGGACATGAGGGAGACCAGCCCCCCCATGAGATTCAGGTCACCACCTGAGCTCAAGCAACTCACCTGCAGGTCAAAGAACTTGCTGTATCTCCGGTAGATGGTCTGGCAGGTGGAGTCGGACCAGGTCACGTTGATGATGTATACCTGTGGGTAAAAGGGAGGAGCAGGTGAACAGGTGACCAAGGCTGGGCTTCAAGCTTCCAGATATCATTTAACCAGACTGCAGGGGTCCTGTATGTCCATGACCATTCTTTTTCTCATCTCGTGTGTCCCCAGAGCCTCGCACTGTCAGCTACTCTGTGGATGTCATATACTCCTGTGTATGTATCTCTGTGGATACATATACTCGTATACATAGTATTGTATGTAAACACATACACATAGATACACTCATATCTCGGGGGCATTCCATAAAATTCTAAGGATGATTATCTTAGAAGAGTAGGATTAAAACAAGCAGTTTTGGCTTGGTGCCTGTAGCTCAAGTGGCGAAGGCAACAGCCACGTATACCTGAGCTGGCAGGTTCGAATCCAGACTGGGCCCACCAAACAACAATGACGGGTGCAACAAAAAATAGCTTGGTGTTGTAGAAGGTGCCTGTAATCCTAGCTACTTGGGAGGTGGAGGCAGGAGAATCATTTGAGCCCAGAAGTTGGAGGTTGCTGTGAGCTGTGATGCCACAGCACTCTACTGAGGGCAACAGCTTGAGGCTCTGTCTCAAAAAAAAAAAGTAGTTTTAATTTCTCTCTTTTTATGTATATGTATTTTGTACAATGAACACAAAAGGTCATTAAATTTGAGGTCATTAAATTTTTTGAAAGTAGCTAATTTCCACTGATTCCCCAACTTTAGATCCAAAGAGATTCTCTGAGGAGCATCCCAAAATTATAGGTGCCTGGGGCCCATTCTCTGAAATTCTGCATAAGGAGAGAAAAGTTTTTGTTTTGTTTTGTTTATAGAGATAGAGTCTCACTTTATCACCCTTGTAGAGTGCCGTGGCATCACAGCTTACAGCAACCTCCAGCTCCTGGGCTTAGGCGATTCTCTTGCCTCAACCTCCCAAGTAGCTGGGACTACAGGCACCCGCCACAATGCCCGGCTATTTTTTTGTTGCAGTTTGGCTGGGGCCGGGTTTGAACCTGCCACCCTCAGTATATGGGGCCAGTACCCTACTCACTGAGCCATAGGCACCTCCCAAGATCCAGGTTTTTAGGCTTGGACATTGACACTTGTAGCAAACTCCAGGTTATTCTGCTGCAGTTGATCCTCAGAACTCACTCTGAATCAGTCACTTCAGGAAATCACAGTGTTTTAGAGATGTGTGATTCATCTCAGTATTCTTAAGCCTTAGCTCAATGCTTGGCACAAGGCAGGTGCTCAGAAAATATTTGGCTATATTTGGACAACTAAACTGGTCCTCTGATGAAAAGTAGATTCGAAGGAAAGATATTTCCTGGAAGGTTTGGAAACTTTTCAGGTGCCTCACAATGAAGGCATTTTGGGGCCATATTGTCACCCCAGTTCCCAAGGCTCCATCAGGTTCTACAGTGCCTCAGGCTACTCTGGAAGGCTTGCCTGGCCCAGGAGGACACAGGAGAAGGAGAGAAAGGCCCTAACATACACAATCTGACCTACATAATCTGTTCCCGCTACTTCTGTCCCTTCTGGGAGAGGCCTGAGCTAGAGCCATGCATCCCTTCCTACAGCCTCAGGGCCCTTCTGAACTTCTTGCTAGTCCCTGAGGTTCACAGTGAAGGGACAGCACTGATGTCACACAGGTGAGGCAGGAGACAGGCAGTAGCTGTAGATCCCCAGCAGTGGTTCCCATGCCAGGATACCATCAGGACCACCTGGGGAGCTCCATAAAAATTCAGATTCTTGGGGTTTTTGCCTAGTGATTCTGATCCTGTAGGTCTGGGGTGGAAACTCTACCAGTGAAGAGAGCAAAATAGGCCGAGAAGGCAGGGGTCTGGGCTCTGGTGAGAAGGACGGATGTCAACAAAGAGGAGAAACATCCAGACACCTTACTAGCAGGCCGGCTGGGCCCCAGGTGCCTGGAACAGGGCTTGCGCACAGGAGCAGAGAGGCTTTATGCTTCGATGTTCAGTTAATAGACAATGAAGAAAGCTCTGAATCCAGTCCCTTTCCCTCTCCCTTCTCTAAGTCACAGCTGCAGCCTCATGCCATTGTTTATTCTGAAATGCAACCCAGGAAAGGGCCATAAAGCCAAGCAAATAGGGCCGAATGTTGCCACCCAGAGATGAGGCACTTATGACACAGGACCCTGATAAGGAAGAACATCAAGTACAAGCCCACTCCTATCCTCAAGAGCTGAAAATAGACTACTGGCTATTACTACAATAAACGGGGATATGCTTTGCTTTATATCATACGTAAATAAATGTATATCTCATATGAGAAATTGCAACAGCACTTAGATAACTTAATGTTACCTAATGTTTAGGTAACCAAACGTTACTAGATACCAGTACAGTATAAAGCATTTACATGCCTGAGCCCATTTAATCTTCAGCCCAGTAGGGTAGCTACCACCGTTATCCCCATATGTTACAGGGGAAAGGTGAGGTTTGCCCATATCATACAGCTAATAAAATACAGAGCAAAGGCCTTGAACCCAGGTCTAGCTGAGTTCAATCCCTATGCTCTTAACCACACTGGACTATCTCCCTATATGTAAATTTAGGAGTTTGGATATTTTTTATTTACTCATGTATGTATAAATATAATATGTATATATGTAGACAGAGTCTCACTTTGCTGCCCAGGCTACAGTGCTGTAGCATCAGCCTAGTTCATAGCAACTCCTGGGCTCAAGCTATCCTCCTGCCTCAGCCTCACAACTAGCTGGGTCTATAAGCACCTGCCACAACACCTGGCTAATTTTTCTATTTTTAGTAGAAATGGGGCCTTACTCTTGCTCAGTCTGGTAACTGCTGAGCTCAAGGGATCCTCCCACTTTGGCCTCCCAGAGTGCTAGGATTACAGGCAAGAGCAGTGCCCCCCCCCCCACAGAGTTTGGATATTTATTTTATTTTATTTTATTTTATTGCAGTTTTTGGCCAGGGCTGGGTTTGAACCCACCACTTCCGGCATATGGGGCTGGTGGCTACTCCTTTGAGCCACAGGCGCAGCCCTATGATTGACGCCCAGAAGTTTGTATATTTAAATCAAACTAATTACTCTGGACTGAATAACGCCTTTTTCTCTTCTTTTTTTCTTTCTGTCTTCTTTTCTTTTTTTTTTTTTTTTTTTTTGGAGGGATGGGGGTTTTTCTTTTTTCCCCAGGTTTGTCTTAAACTCTTGACCTCATGGTGGGACCTCGTCTATTGTGCATAAAGCAATGGTACATTGTAAAACTATTAAGAGTAGAGTATAAATGTCTTACCACAACAAATAAGAGAGGTGTGGGTTATGTTAACAAGTTTGATGTAAGCTTTCCACATTGTATATCAAATTATCACATTGTACTCCATAAATGCATTAATGTACAGTTATGATTTAATAAAAAAATTGAAAAAAAAAATTGAAAAAAAAAACAAAACAAGCAATCCTCCCACCCTGGCCTCCCAAAGTGCTAAGATTACAGGCAGGAACTAGGGTACTTAGCCATTAAGTAAAGCTCTTAGGCTGCAGGCTGCAGGTTCATTTTGTGAGGACTAATTTTTTGCTTATCTGTGGTATTAGATACCATAAAAAGCATGCATGACCTTTTTTTGCTAATTAGCTTTCGTTAGAATTTGTGTATTTAATGTGTGGTCCAAGACAACTCTTATTCTTCCAATGTACACCAGAGAAGAGAAAAGATTGGACATCCTTAAGAACCTCAGGGAGTTCACTGAGAACACAGGGGAGTGAAGGCAACTCTGAGAGCCTGAGACCAAGAGGAGACAGAACTCGGGGACCCAGACAGAAGACAGCAGTCAGGAATACTCCAAAACCAGACCGACACAGAGGATACCCTCCTACAACTGGCCACACCAACTGTGGTAGGGCTCTGGGATTTTCACAGTGGTTATAACCTACCCCATTCCCCCTCTGACTTCCAGCTCCATCTCCTCTCCCCACCTGCATCTCCTCCTCCTGCAGGTCCCAGGCAGGGGAGCAGATGCTCTGTGAGTACCAGGTGCGGCCTCCCTGACCTCCGCCCCACATCCCAGGGCCCAGCCTTCCCCAGGGAGACAGTAGATAGTGCCTTTCTCCTAAGCTGACCAAGGGGAGCCCAGAGGAAGGGCTTAACTAGAGCTTAACACACCCATCCTCCCTCCCCTCCAGCAATTAGGCTTCTCTAATTAATTGCAGACCCTTAGTCCCTGGCAGCTGGGAGGATCCTGGGAGGCCTCTGCTTTTGCAAAGGAGGAACCTAAGGCACAGGGTAGTGTTTTGTGAAGGAAGGGGCAAGGCCAGGTGAGAAGGAGCAGAGTCTGGAGTGGGCCACAGCTGAGTTCCTCTCCCAGCACCCTCCTTACTGGCTGTGAGACCTCAGTGCAGCCTCTCAGGCCCTCAGGCTCCTCCTCTTGACCAGCGGTTTTCAGCTAGCGGGCCATGAGAGGATCTTAGGTGTGCTGTGAAATTTTTTCAAGATTATTAATTAAATTATTTTTGAAAGAAGTTCAAAGCACAGTAAGTATGTTCTTTTTTTTTAACTCTTCTTTTTGATAAACATAATTTAAGTGTGCCGCAGAAGTTTAACTCTAGGTTCAAGTGTGCTGTGAGATAAAAATGATTGAAAAACACTGCTGGAGACAATGGGCGTAGGATTCAGGGCTGCAGGGCCCGAAGCGCAATTGTTCTGACACTCATTAGTGGCAGAGCTGGGATGGGAACCCAGATGTCCTAATTCTTAGCCTAGCACTAGCCCCACGTGACCTGAATATGCTATCTTCACTCCTCAAAATAGTTGAAAGTTCACAAGAGTCCTGTATGTGTAACCTTTGATCTGAACCCACATACTCTAGAAAACCAGCCAGAAGAAAAGGGTGACAGAGAACTGTCTGCATAAGCCTTGTGGTCCACAACCACCTGACCAAGACATGGCCGTGCTTCCCTACCACCACCGAAAGCATTTCTTTCCTTTTTTGGCAAAAGATTGCTCCTGCTAACATCCTGCACCCCACTTCCAGCG